CTAAATGCATTGCTCTTCAATACAGGAGTCATTTATTCACGTTGCAAAAATAAGTAAAAAGTCTTTATTATACATCAAAACATAATCTATTTCAATAGTGAAATGGGAACCTAATATATCTTTGTTGTGTAGATTGGTCTACACTTGGATTTCATTAAAAGCTCTCGAATGTAAATTGTAAAAGTCTCCTCAAGAAAATGTGGGCTCAAACCAGCTGTGTGTGCATCTCAGGCCCTGTGTTTTGTGTCTGCTAACATTGTGCTATGTCTACAAAGCTCTGCCATGAAGCACTTAAATATACATGGTGAATAATTTGAGGTCAGCTAGCAATAAAGTTTGTGTGAAATACCATTTAAAAACCCATTAACCATGCGACTAGTATATTCAAGTCAAGCTGTTAAAATACATTTGCAGAAACACTGTGGTTTGACTATTGAAATCCAAATAAAAATTATATTAGCCTTAGGATAAAATGAAAAATAAAGCAATCTTTTAGAAGGATTTGCTCATCTAAAAGCTTAGAACAATAATTACTCCTTTATGTTATTCTGTTGATTCAATATTGTGCAGATCACAATTTTAGAATGAGACACTTATTTTCACAAGAGCACAGGTGTTCCCCCACCACATCCCACAAGGAAACTTTTCTGCTTTGCAATAATTACAGCCTTTGTATCTTTCTAATAAACTATGTGGTAGATGCGTGTGGTGTCCGGAAAGGGGAATGAGGAGGTAATTTTAGTCTCTGAATAAACAAAGAGAAGCTGGTTGGATTATGGGTGAGGTGTGAGGGGAGATGACAAGAGTGTGGGGTGGTGCTAAAGGACTCTTTTATCTGTGGTAAAGACATTTTTCACTCCACCATTTATGGAATTCTAAAATCTAGGGAATAAGCCTAGCCACACTGAAAGGATAAAATGTAGACATTCTGTTGATAGAAAAAATTAACTTCATGCCCCTAAGTAAGTCTGCCACAACACTGATATAATGAAATCCAGCACAACCATTTGGAAGTTGACAATACTTATTTAAATTATGGATATCAGCTACCTAATTTTGAGACTAGTCTTTCCAAGAAAATCAAATAAATTAACTTCAACTCTCTTTGCTTTATATAAGAATTCCCTTTTAGTAATGTTGTTAATAATTGCTAAAATGAATGCTTTTTAATACATGTTTTCTTCTCAAACACTTTTTGTGAACTGCCGATAACTTGTTGGCTCTTGCCATGGTATTATGCCGTGGTGGTAAGCTGGTAGTACTAGCTTCATGCTAGTATTAGAAGCAAAAAAAAAAGAAAGAAATTATTTGAAATGTTTCTAGATTGACTATGAGTCTAAAGCAAGTCAAATCAGATATTGGAAAGTGAGTGAAGAAATCTTAGCCTAAATTTTATGATTATACATTTGAAATACGTACACTCAGAAATTTCCTTTTAAGATAGCGAGATGCGTTTAGTAGGCCAGTTCTCTAACCTAGTGAAAGAGTATTTGAAGGGAGTGAGAGACAGAAAGAAAGAAACTTGGAAATCTATGGTCTTACAAAGTTGGTAAGCAAGTATCTGTCCAAGCATGTAATATGTAATAATGCGTAATAAATTTAGTTCAACCAATGGGGGAGCTAGGAAGGCAGTGGCACTTTGCTTTGTTGTGATAATGCATTTAATTTTTGTGCAGAAGGAAGTAAGAGCTATGTGAGGAGTGTATGCACAGGTCAGGCTTTTGCTATGTGTGCATTGCTGTGCTTGAAATAGTACGAAATCTATTTTAAGTTAGCAAGTGGAATATACTATACCCAACAGTTGATTTATTTTGGTAAAATATTATGATTTGTTCTGATAAAATATTCTAAAATAATGAGATGTTGTCATAGATTTTAACCATAGGAAATATGTACGTTCTTTCCCTAATAAATAGGCATAGGGACAAAAAGGATTCTATGTGTTCATTGGAGTGAAAATGACAGACTATAAAGGAAATGTCAAAGTATTAAGAGAACTATGTTAAAACTTGGTAAGAGTTGATAAATTGAATAATCATATAAATTTCTTATTTATAGAGTCCTTTTCCCCCCAGAAAACTGTTTTCTTCTAAATGATGCATTCCTTTGCTAAAATATTTACTTGAAAATCAGAAACTTTCATCCATTTCTTTGGCACACTGATATTCTTTGGTGTCTTTTCTCTTGTTTTTTGTTTGTTTGGGTTTTTGGGTTTGTTGTTGTTTTTTTTCTAGCTCACTTTTCTGAATGACAGCATTCTGATGATTTCTATCTGTAATTATTCACTAATAAAATTAAGGAGAATGATTGTATGAGTTTTTATGTCATAAATTGATTTAGAAACTCCTAGAAACTAAGACATTAATGAGTGATTTCTTCCTACTTTCAGTCTGATAGTTCTTAAATACACGATACTGAGCAGTTATTTTCTTATCATCCTTTTGATTGGCTAGGGAAACTTAATTGAATGTCTAATTTTATCTCTATTATTTTAAAAAAGGTATGTGTTTTGATAGGGAGTCTTCATGTGCGTCAGATTGACTCGTGTTTGATTTACAATATGCTGGTTAAAATGATTTCTGTGTTTAAATGAAGGAAGGAGCTGGTGACACCGGACAGGCATTAAGTGTACTTCTTCTGATGTTTCTTAATAGTGAGCTCTAGTTTCATTTATACTTGATAAAATACCTAATAAGCTATGCTCGCTTAGTGATAAGGAGTCACATTGTCCATCCAAAGGCAGGTAATTCGAAACTAGAAGCTGTTCCACAGGATACAGCTGGTCAGTGACCTCCTGAGTGATTTATAGGCCTTGAAAACCTCTTGGAGGTTCAGTTATGAGTTGGTTTTGACTCAACAGCACATAACAATACTAGTAGTAAAACAAAGTAAAGAATTGTATGTAATACCACCATACTATTTAAAACAGGTACATTACTTTTTTTAGTGTTGGTTATAGCCCATGAAATTGCACAAAATTTCATAGCTATAGCTGAATTTGCTTTTATTCAACTATAATTAATTAATTCAACTATAACTAATTGCTAAATATAATTAGCAATTAAAGACATTTGAATGATTAAATATTTCTATCTATGGTAGATAAAGGGCTTATATCTATAGATTATAGTGTTTTAACACTAGACTATCTTATTCCTTTTCATTAAAAAAATAAGTTGGTATTCTGAACTTGACAAAACTTGCAACACCTATGGCAGAAACAATCTGGATTCATGTTATATTTTATGGCATATTAGAGGTATGCTTTGATCTAACTGGTCTCTGTATAGTAGAAGCGTTTTTCATTCATTTGGATACTTATAAGCCTTTGTTAAAAGATTGAATGTTGGGGTGGAATAGAATGGAGGAGGTAAGTAATGAGTTGTAACATGTGACAGTTAAGTAAAAGGGCATAGAGTTAGGGTAAATTTATCCTGAGCCTTCACAAAAAGGGTTTTGTGTAGATAATTCCGTGGGAAGTATGGTATGGGATACAGAGGAGCTATCTTTCTTTCTTTTGTTTTAGAGTTGGAAAGAATAAGTGTAAATATGGTATAAGTCTTTTAGTTGCATTGAAGCCTCATGGTTTTTCCTTCTTAAAGTTAAAAATCAGGTTCTGTGAAGTTTGTGTTGCTAGTCTATGTACTTCTCTATTTGTTTTGACAAAGGATAGACTAGGATAGAAACCATACTGATTATCTGACAGTATGACTGTTTTCTTGTCTGATTTATTACTAAATGTGTGGATGGATTTCTGTGTGGAAGGAAGATTGATTCTTAAAGAAGAGTATGTTAGAAGAAAACTACCCCTTTCTCCCCTATAGAGAGAATGCTGTCATTATTCCTTCTCCTAAAACCCCATCAGTGCCAGCCCATGCTTGGATGGGTGAATGGGCTGCACATCAATTCTGCAACAATACTCCTCAAGTTGGAGAGAAAGCACAGTGCATGACAGTCCATGCTTCTCTTCCCCAGGAGCCAATTCATACACAGTTGTTATTTGGGACTGCCATGTGCTGGGATGTCCTGCAGTAGCAAGACCTTCTCTTAGGGCAGCTGATGGCTACTATGAAAACGTTGAGGTTCCAAATCTTCCTTCTTTCTAGCATCCATGATGAGGAGCTTTGCTGATGTATTTCAGGTGGAAGAAAAGTGAACTGGCTCAGTAGTTGGTGTCCTCTAACAGTTTACAACCTAGGGAATGATCAGATGATATCTGCTACTTGGAGTGTGCCAGTTAAACTATTTAGAAGTGTTTCCTAAGTTCCTTTTGAAGAAAATGCCAATAAGAAGATTATGATAAACCAAAGCCGTGTCCCCTTCCACAAAGGGTTCTCACTTTCTGAGTCTTTCAATGAACTGTCCCTGCATAGACACCTACAATCAAAAACTTCCTAATTTTGTGTAGGAAGTGTGGCTGCAGCTTTGCTGTGTTTGCGTTGTCATTTTAGGAGAAAATTCTCTTGGTTATTGAATATATTATTCTCCCTAAAATAGTACACTGGAGTACAGATCTTGACAAAAAGCCAGATGGAATCTCTTCTTATTTTCTTAATAATTGGTGTCTGAGCATTCTCTTACTTTAAGAAAAATCATCAATTACTTCTTCCGTTGGGTCCAATAAAATATTTATAATTAAACACTTTTCCCAGTTTATACAAAGATGAGTTCTCATGTCAAGATTACACTGTATTAAAAAAATAATACACTGTGATTGTGATGTTTCATTTTAATGACTTTATTGTTTCTGTTAAACATATTGAGAGTTTTCCTAACCTGTTTCTATAGCATTGCTGAATGTGTTTCTTTTTTTCCTATTGTTAATGTTAACACCAAATTTGAAGACTGAAAACCATGTGTTGAAGGGTGACTGCACGTAATGTGAAAAAAAAAAAAGAACCCATTGGGTGTGTGTGTGGTCCGCCTTGCTATGGATTTCTTCTGTAATACGCTGCCAAATCTTCTCTTTAAGTATTGTGAAAACTCTTTGTTTTTTTCAGGTCGAATGAGTGATTTGAGTGTAAGTGGTCATCCAATAGATTCAGAATCTAAAGAAGAAGAACCTTGTAGTGAAGAAACAGATGCAGAGCACAGTCTCATTGCTGAAATTTTCCCTCACATTTTTGACTTATATCCTAGCGAAGAGGATGAAGAGGAGGAGGAAGACTGTGCAAACGCTACTGAAGAAACAACCACCCCATCAGTGCAGTACATAAATGGGAAGCACCTCGTCACTCCCTTGCCCAACGACCCCGAAGCTGCAGAAGCCAGGCGTGGCCAGTTTGAGAGTGTTGCACCTTCTCAAAATTTTTCAGACAGCAGTGAAAGTGATAATCATCAGTTTGTGATAGCTGAAAGCGAATTGTCCACTGCAATGCAGTCAAACGAATCCAATGAATTGGAATCGCTTGAGATGACTTGGAAACCTGAGTCTTACCCTGAAATGCCTGAACACTTTTCTAGTGGTGAGCATGATGTGTTTCCCACAGTCCAATTCCATGATGGGAAAGCCACAGAGGATACAGTCTCAATCACTCAGAGGGGTCCTGAACTTGATAGTCAGACGTATGAAAAACTGGAATCAGTATCTTTGTCTCCTGAAGAATCTTCAGGAAGTGCTGCGATTGCCCTAGAATCACAGGAAGAAGTCTTTTCAAAGGCTCCAGAAGTTACATTTGGTGAGGAGGCAGAAAAAAGTACTTCTGACACATTTACTCCAATCATGGTTCTAGGTTCTGCAGCAACAAATGTTTTAGAAGAAGAATCAGTTCCCCAAACAGGAAATGTGCAACCTGATGATCCACTCTCTGCCACCGAAGGCTGGATACAAGTAACTGCTAACCACTCTGGAGAGCTCTTGGGGACTCCTTCTTCAATTCCAGTGCCGGAGGGCTCTGGCGAAGATGAAGAGGACAAAATTAAAATGTTCACCATGGTAGCTACTTTATCACAGAGCAATGCCACAAATACACATGATAATTTAGATACTGGCAAGACCATGATCACAGAAAGTGTTTTGGATGTTCCTGTCACCATCTCTTACTCTGTTTCTGAACAACCTTCTGTAGAAATAGTACCGACCAAATTCAAGAGCACAATAGACACATCTGCATGGGTTTTCAGTACTTCTGTTGAAGGAAAGAAACAAACAGAGGATGGAGAGGAAGCTACGAGTACAGCTGCCCCAACTGAGAAACCTTTGCCCACACAAAGATCTGATCAACTGATTTTACTCCCTGAATTAGAAAGTTCAAATGAAATGACATTTAGTGATGTAGCCTCCATTAGGAAAAGTGTAATGTCCTTGACAACACCTACCCAGTTGGAAAGGCAAATGACAAGTGCTATACCAGTCTCTACAGAAACAAGTGTTGGAGGGAGTCTGGGGGTCCAGGTCCCTGAGCACAGCACTGGTAGCCAGCCTGAGATTCTGGAAGGGCTGACCACTGTCCTAGGCTCTCTCTTTATGGAGCAAGGCTCTGGAGACGCTGCTGCTCATCCAGAAACCACCACTTTCCCTCCATTTCTCATAAATTCAGAGTCTGATATTCAAACCCCAAAGGAAGAAGATAGTACATTGCCTTCCCATGTAGCAACTACCCCATCTTTTGAGCCTACAGGATTCCTGTTGAGCACCGTGGATAGACAAGAGGCTAAAACTATAAGCCACACATCCAAGGGAAGCTTGGTCTCAGAGATAACTAGAGCCCCAAGTCATGGAGCTGAAGTTAAGGGCTTTGCTACACATGTTCCTTTTGAGGAAGATGCCAGTGGTGAGTTTAGAGAATACTCAACAGTTTCTCATTCTGTAACAGAAGATGTGATAACAATGGAAGGCTCTGGAGATGAAGACTTTATGAATATTCAGACCTCACCTTCTGCAATGCCTGTTTCAGATCACATCAGTCAAGGGCCTGACTTGGAAGGATCCAGTCACACCATGGCCAGCCCTTCAGCCTTCCCTTGGGAAGAGTTCACAGCCTCAGGGGAGGGCTCAGGCGAGCTCTACTCAGTCAGCAGCTCTATGGGGAAAGTTTCTAGTACAGAGTCTCCACTTATTGACCAAGGTTTGGGACAAATGGGAGCTATTACTGCAGCTGATCATGGACTCACTGTTACACCAACAGCAGTAGCTAAAGGTGTGGAAGGTGCAACAGATAGTGCAGCTGGTGGCACAATTTCAGTGGACCCTCTCCAAACTTTGGAACCAGCCGAATTGTGGTCTAGGGAAGAAGTCATCCCTGTAACAAAAGAAATTGAACATAAAACAGCATCAGATATAAAGACTGGAGAACAAAAGCCTCTTAACTCTCCCCAAAGCTCTGTTGCACCAGAACAAACAATTCTTGATTCACAAACCTCTACTGAGACCAAGCTCCTAATCACAGATTATTCTATACTTACAACAAAGCAAACTTACAGTTATGGCAAGGAAATCGAGGAGGAAGGTTTGCCCTCAGTACTCATGTCTACCCCAGATCCAGATAAAAAGCTTGTGGAATCATACGCTGCTTCCACTGAAGGTATTGAAAAATCACATTTTCTCTTAACTACTGGTTCTGTGACTGACTCCTCACCATCTCAAAATGTGGCGACAGATTCATCAGTGAAAGCAGAGGCAAGTATAAAACCTTCTCCTACAGACAGGAGACCATTCATCAGACAGCCAGATACTGAGCTCTTATTCTCTGGACTAGGATCAGGAGAAGAAGTTCTGCCCACCCAAGCCAGAGGATCAGTACATTTTACCAAAGTGGAACAAATCATTAGCACATTACATCCCCAGACCTCGCAAGTGGAAAGTTTAGAAACCAGGATCCCCAGTGATGAAATGGAAGACTCTGAGGGAATGGAAAATGTAACAACTGATGAAGATAGACAACTCGGTTTTAAAACTACCAGCTTCCCCGAAAATAGCCAGACAATATCCAGCTCCACGTTAATGGGCATTTGGGGTGACAGCAGAGGAGAAGGACTCACTGTGACACCTCTCACTTTCCCCAAAGACATTGAACAAACGCAAAGGCAGATGCTCAGTTGGGCAGAAGAAAGCCAAACTAATAGAGTACAAACGATGACTGCCCAGGTCTCTGACGTGAATTCTTCAACAGCAGAAACTAAAGAAACAGCCACGTCTTCTGTTGCCCTGGCACAGACTCATGGTTTGAAAATGGCCAAAGGATTTGTTACATCAACACCGAGGCCATCTGAATTGTTTTATGATCACTCTGGAGAAGGATCTGGGGAATTAGGTATTGCTGATTTACCCCACACTTCTGGAACTACTCAGGCAACCAGGCAAGGAAGCAGTGCATTTGTTTCCAATAGACCCCTGGACACACATACCGAGGTTCCCAGTGCTGAAGCTGTTACTGCTGATGGATTTCCAACCGTTTCGGTTGTGCTTTCTCTTCATACTAAGCAGAACGAACGCTCCCCTGATCCAGAGAGCACAGCAGCCAGTACCATGTTGGCTGAGAGGTCCACAGAGGGTGCTGCAGGTCGCTTCCCAGACAGTCTCAGAGACTTCAAGGATGCCACTTTAAAGCCTGCCAGGAGGAAAGCCACTGAAAATATGATTCTAGATTTGGACAAAGAGGACAAGGATTTAATATTGACAATTACAGAGAGTACCATCCTTGAAATTCCACACGAGCTGACGTCAGACAAAAATACAATCATAGATATTGATCACACGAAATCTGTGTATGAAGACATCCTGGGGATGCAGACCGACCCCGATCCAGAGGTGCCAGCAGGGTCACACGGTGGTGATGAAGAGAGCACTCAGCTTCAGGAGGAGTATGGGGTGGCTGCTAATTACTCTTTAGTTGATGAAAAGCTGGAGGGTTCTGGGGACATTCTGCTGGCCAGCTACACTCAGGCCACACAGAACGAGTCAATGCCTCTGGAAGACAGAAGTCAGTCATCCCACACAGGTTTTCTCTTCACCACTGGGATCCCCATCTCTAGCACAGACACTGAGTTAGACGTTTTCCTCCCCTCAGTACCAGCCCTGCCCATTCCAATTGAATCTGCCACAGTGAAGCCACAGATTGAAGAGCCCCAGGTGGAAACGAAAACCCTGGAGGATGTCTTTGAATCAAGCACTTTGTCAGATGGTCAAGCTATCGCAGACCAAAGTGAAGTCATATCCACTCTAGGCCATCTGGAAGGGGCACAGGAGGAGTATGAAGAGAAGAAGTATGTAGACCCTTCATTTCAGTCAGAATTCTCTTCAGGGTCTGAAGAGGCATTGACGGATCATCCACCCTATGTACATGTCAGCACTCCCCGCCTTATGGCTGAGAGATTAGCAGAGACACCTAATATGATGGAAGGATCAGCCTCTCCAGCATATAGTGATGCAACGTTAGCATCTTCAGCATTTGCCGAGTTGTCCCCTCAGACACCATCAGCTCCAGGCACTTTCCACCTCCACAGTGGGGCCTTTGAACACACAGATGTCCCAGAGCCAAGTAGTACTCAGCCACATACAGGTGCGGGAGCCACCCAGGTGTTCAAAGAGGATGTCACGGAAACTCATGCTGACACTGAAGCGACTTTCAAACCATCCCAAGAGACACACTTTGCCATAACTGAACCTCCATCTTCATCTCCTAACACGGAACTAGAACTTTCCGAAGAGGAAAATAAACCTAACTTACTAAAAGAAGTGAGAGCTTCTCCCACAGAACTAATAGCTGAAAGAATTGAGTTTCACCAAGACTCTAAAAACCAAGCCAGTGTCTCAGTTCCTGGAGAAACAGTCAGAGAGTTTCCCAGTGTTACAATGCCTCTAACTATCTCTGCCACCACCACTGCAAGGGACAGTCAGTTAGAAGGTGTTTCACAGTGGCCACAATCCACTTCTGCTCCCGCGACTCCTGGAGTTGAGACAGGTGTGGTGCCTCAGCCCAGCCCGCAAACTTCGGAGGAGCCCACTTTTCCTCCTTCTCTGGAAATAAACCCTAAAACCCAAGCTGCGCTGATCGCAGGGCAGCATTCAACAGTAACAGCATCAGATCAGCAAGTATCGGCACGGAATCTTGAGGCTCACAATCAGGCAACAGTAAGCACTGTGGAGTTAAATGCCAAGCTAGCAACACCAGCATTTTCCCTTTTGGAAACTTCTAATGAGAGCGATTTCCTGATTGGCATTGATGCAGAGTCAGTGGAAGGCACAGCGGTCTATTTACCAGGTAAGGCCACAGTATTTATCAGTCTGTTTCCAAATCTGGAAACAGTTGCTTGGTCCTAAACACGCATGTGTATATCTTGTTTTTCGTGATTTGAAGTCTAAATAGACTTTTATACTGTTGACATAACAGCAGGAACAGGCCATGGCATTGGGTCTTTCATAAGATGCATTGAAAGTAAGTACACATCATTTCCAGACCTTATATATAGCTTCAATTATTTTTCTGCATTTGAAAAGAAACAATACATAGTTGTAGCCTAAAAGAATAAGGTTGTTAATGGTGTAAAATTTTAATTTGTTTTCACCCACAGCTCAGATTATTGCTGTATTGCTATGCCATGTTCTGTCATTATGCATTTTAGTTGTGTATTTGTTTTTGTTTTTTTTTTTCAAGTACTGTTTTGGTTTTAATTGCCCATTGATCCGTGTGACTGTGGCAATATAAAAATCTGTCAGTCTTTTACAATATAAGACTAGGACATAACAGCAATAAATATTTTGCATAGTCTGTGTAATACCAGTAGTTCATACTTGAATGAACTTTCTGTGCCTCAGATACTCCACACATGCATCTAGCATAGGGCTTCACCATCGAGGGCAGCGACTCAGTATGTATTTGTGCTCTACCTGTAGAGAGAATTTCTGTCATATAGTGAATGTACAGAAGGCTTACATTTTATATTGGTCTATCTAGACTGTTTTATTTGATAGTTCTTAAAAATCTTGAAATCCATTATGATTATTCCCATTAAAAAGTAAACTAAAAGATGTGGAGAACCAGAGAGGTTTGGACACACAGCCATTCAGCAGTCAAAGTGAGATTTGAATCCAGACCTCTGTAGTACAAAGAGCTGCTTTCTAGGTTAATTTTTTAAAGCAACTACTGTTCAATACAATGTAAACCAGATTTCTTAAAGGATATATACTTGTAATATTCCTTTTCCTCTTAATTTAGCTTGAGAATATTGAGAAGTTATCTTTATTGTATTGTGTGGTAAAGTTATTATTTAAATAACAGTGTTAGTGGACTCAGCAAGCAAGCATAGTACCTAGCTTCTAGTAAGGAGAAGAATCAATATTTTAAGGGTAGTCCTGGTTGAAATTATCCTTTTAATGTTAATGAATGCATTTAATGGCCTGGCTATAATTGGACTTATTTTTCTGAATAGATCAATATTTTCTTTTGTGACTCTTGCTTCATTTTGTTGTGGTTCAAACAGAGAGAAATAATAATAAAACACAATTTTTATAAATGCTTGAGTGATTTTGTGAATAAAGTTTATCAAGGGTGGTTTTGAAAGCTACTGGACTTTTTCCTTGTTAGTGTTTGTTTTAGTCTATTTAATCTGCAAATGCTAACCAAATAATCTGGCCAGGATTTATGTGCTTGTTATTTAGTTGGAATATAATTTAGATTGGTAAAAATGTGACATAGAAATAATTGGTTAGTAACAACTAAATGGGTACATAGAAAGGAACAAATTCAGCCTGCAGGGCTTACAAAGAGTCTGTGCTGTGTATTTATCACCAAAAACAAAAATAAAAGGTCATTTTACTCTAATTTGGTAAACAGATGTTAAAATGTGGTTGCCTAGTCTATCTTTTGCAGAATTCAGCTTTCTGAGGTTAATACAAACTGTTTAGGGAAGAATGCAGTTTAAGAACACAAAACTTTTCCCCTGATCTGAACTGTTTCAGGTCCTTGGAGAGAACTTCCAGGTCTTTGTCTGATAGCCTTAGTCTTATTCCAGTGGTTGGGGTTGGGGAATGAACATAGCTATAATATTTCAGGTTTGTGTGGCAACATAGTGATTTTTAAAATTCACTCCCACATTAACTATCCATCTGAGTTTTCTGTAGAAGGTAATAAACAGATGTGTTGTTGACCGCTGCTTTGTAACTCAGGAGGCAATGGTATTTTAATGGAGTAAGATAATAAAGCAAAATGGCTATATTTGGAAAGAAAGAGTTTTAGGAAGTTTGGGATAGTTCTTAGAATGGCAAATGTAAGCATCTGAATTAAGTTTAACATGAATGGCCAATTAAGTGAAGACGTATCTCTCTAGTTTTTCTAATAGCTAAAATTTACTTAACACTCAGAAAGTTTAACTTTCTAGTATAGAAAAGACTCTGTTATTTCCACAGAATTACCTTGTTTTGCTCTCATCTTTTTTCAGTTGTTATTTCATAATTACATGTCTTTCCCTGACCCCTTAGATATTTGAGAATCTCAGGATGTAACATTCTTGAAAATACGGTTGTATTCCATAAATAATCTATTTTTCTTTCAGTGATTGTGTGAAATTTCTCTCATTTGGATTCTTGAATACTTTGAAACTTAAGCAATCCTGCCAAATATATAAAAAAGAAATTTAAGCTAGTACTATAAATACAGCTATTTAAGTAATCCTATGGGCTAAACTTTGTGCTTCAAATTGCATCACTATTTGCTTCTAAGGATTATATTTTAGATCATTCTCTTGGATTTACATCTTTAATCTTTTATCTGTAAGAAGTGTCAACTTTATTTGTGCTTTAATAAAATTGTAAGAAAAAAATTGGAGTTTCATATTAGGCAAGGTTTTTGTGTTTAGGTTTGTTTTTATACAGTAGCATTTAATCCATGTGTTGCTTTTCTTCAAGTATAGTTTAAAGGAGTACATTTGGAACGTGTTTTTGGAAAAGGCATGTTAATGTAGCAGAAGAGACTACAGTGCACACTTTCGAAGAAAAAGTTTCTGAGCATTAAGTGGTAAAAGGCAATAATAATTCAAATGATGGTAACAGCCGGTCTGCTAAAAAGAATGCATGTTTTGTTTTGTGTACCCAGCCATTTCACATGAACTAACTCCATTTAAAAGAATACATTTTCCATTCACTGTGCACATATGTGTAATCATTTTGACTAAAATCAATTGCCATTATCATGCCAACTAAAATCTGCGGTAGACTATCTTAGTTGCCAGATACAGTACAAACTGTTGTTTAAAGATAATGCTGGTTAAATCCAGAGATGAATAGATGCGATTTGTAATGATTAGTTATAATGACAAGAAACACTCCAGAAAGTAAAGCTAATGTTAATTTTGTGTCTAGTATCTTTACAATGCTATGGTAAAGCTTATATGATGGTAGCAGTTAAGTGACATTCTTTTGTTAAAACACATTGAAACTGATGATGAGCCTAATCACCTTTCTTACTTTCCTGAACGCTGTAGGACCCGATCGTTGCAAAACGAACCCGTGCCTTAATGGAGGCACCTGTTATCCCACTGATACATCCTATGTTTGCACCTGTGTGCCAGGATACAGCGGAGACCAGTGTGAACTTGGTAAGATGTTTTTGGCCTAAAAGAATGTGATTCTTTTCTAGACTGCATTTGCATTGCTTGAATCACTCAGAAGGTTTTGGGGGAGCCCAGGTGTGAATAAACTGTTAACAAAGGAAGCTAAAGGCCTTAGAGTTATTTAACTCAGATGCAGGGGAGTGGGACAGATGTTTGCTGAATTCCATTAATATACACAAGATTCAGTGAGACTTGCTTATGTCATTCATTACTTTTTGTGCTGTATGGGTTGTTGTTGTTATGTGCCACCGAGGTGCTTGCGACTCATAGCGACCCTATGGACAACAGCTCTGAACCCTGCTCTAGGCTCTGCCAACTTCATCATCTCTGAAACACCCACCCCTATTACCCCAGTTATTGAGTCAATCTATCTCATTCAGGGTCTTTCTCTCTTTTTTTTTTTAATTAATTTTAATGAAAGTTTACAGGACTTAGGGTTTCCAGTCATTCATTGTTGCACTTTTCTCCCTGACCACCCCTCCTCCCCAATTCACTTTTCTCCTTGGTGAGTAAAAGAAAAACTCTTTCATTGCCATGCAATCCCTCCCCCCAAGTCCACTGCACTGTGCAGCCTTCATTCTGGACTCCTTTCATGACAATAATACCTAATCATATATCCCTTTTAAACAGTTCTCTCCCTCATCTGTTGCAATGCAGTATACATCATTCCTCCCCTTCTTCTCTGTCTTCCGTCAACCCCAATATCAGTCCTAATTACAATAGTGGTCCTATGCAATATTTGTCCTTTTGTGACTAAGATATTTCACTCAGCATAATGTCCTCTAGGGTCATCCACTTAGCATAGTATTTCATGAGTTCCTTGTTTTTCAGTGCTGCATAGTATTCCACTGTATGAATATACCAGAGCTTCTCAACCCATTCATTTCTTGATGGGCACTTGGGTTGTTTCCAGCTCTTTACTATTGCAAACAAAGCTGCAATAAACATGGGTGTGTAAGGGTCTTTCTGTCTTGCGCTGTCCCTCCACCCTTCCAAGTATGAAATTCCTCTCAAGGACTGGTCCGTCCTTTCAACATGCCGCAAGTATGTCTAATGGAGCTTCAGATCCTTGCCTCCAAGGAGCAGCTCAGTTTCACCCTCATGTGACTTTACTAACAATGGAGACAAGGACATTGCTCTTTATATCTTAAGCTTTCTTGTTTTTGTTGTTATTTCTGTACAGGGAGTTGGAACTGGCTCTTAGCCGATCCTTTGGTGGGTTTTCCGAGGCAGTAAATCACAAGGAAGATTGCCCATCTTTCTATCTCAGAATAACTGGTAGCTTTGAACTGTGGGCCTTTGAGTAGACAGCACAACTCTATTCCACTAAGTCACCAGAGGTCCCTGAAAACTTTCGTAGAATTGCCAGATAAAATGTTAAAATGTACTATGGCAAGTTAAACTTTACACTCATATAATAAGAAAATGAAGTTTTAGTACTTATGTATAAATAAAGGAGCACTTATAACACAATAGTTAAGTTCTTGTCTGTTAATCAAAAGGTCATTAATTGGAACCCACTGGCAGTTCTGTAGAAGAAAAGACTGGACAATATGTTTCCGTTAAGTCTATAGCCGAGGAAATATTCTATTCTGTCTTATAGGGTGGCAGTGAGTCAGAATAGACTCCATGACAGACAACAATAATAGCAGGGACAGATAAGTATCTGCCATTGTGTCTACAGCTACTTGTTACCTGACATACAACATGATGAAACATTGTCAGGTCCAGAGTTTACCCTCAAATTGCTGGCATGTTGTGTCCGTTTTGAGTATTGTGCAAACCCATCTCCTCAGGGATAGAGGGTTTCCCTGGCCCTTCCTGGCACCCTGCCTCTCCAAACTTGACATTTGCCGCCAGCGATTCATTCTGTCTGGTGATAGGTCCAAAGCAAATGAGTTGGATAATGCTTTGCTGTAATTTCATTGACTAAAGATTGGGAGTATGCCCTTGGGATTTTTCTTCTTTCTCAGTCTGTCAGCTCAGTTGAAACCTGTCCTTCACTGTGACAATGCTGGTATTTGAAATGCCTGACACGTATTCATCCTCGGAGCAGCACCCAAGCTACTACAGGACGGCAAACTGTCGGATGGAGGCTTTTACATTTTTTTAAAAAAAATATTCTCAAGATATTACATGGAATGTACTTAACACTAAAACATTATTTTTACTTTGTTTTCTTATTTATAATTTTTAAAAGATGGATCTTAAATTGCAATTTAACTGGGTAAAATGGTTTGTTCTTTTTTAAGGTGTTATTGTGACCTTTTATGATTTTGTTTCAGATTTTGATGAGTGTCACTCAAATCCCTGTCGGAATGGAGCAACATGCGTTGATGGGTTTAATACATTCACGTGCCTCTGCCTTCCAAGCTACGTTGGTGCCCTTTGTGAACAAGGTGAGAGCCACTGTTTCCTTTATTCAGTGAGGAGTCTTAATAATTCAGAGGGTGCTTCTCAGCAGCATTTTGTCATACTGATTGGATCGTTGTGGCCATGCTCATCTTAGTACATATTTTTTCCTGCAGAAGGCCCTCCCAAGTTATTTAACTCCATTAGGTTTATTCATCTGGTAACTTAACGGTAAGGAGTTTTGCTGCCAAGCCAAAGGCACTCAGTTCAAATCCACCAGTTCAAGTCTATGGGAGAAAGATGGATAGTCTCCTTCCATGTGATTTACAGCCTTTGAAAACTCACAGGAGGGTCAGCATTGAGTCAGTTCCAACTTGATGGCACATAGAAACATCTCAACAAATATTAGCTTGATCATCATTATTTTACTGATAGGCATTACAGATACAAATAAAAACTGGAATAAAGACATTTAGCCAACAGTGAAGGATGCTGTGGTATGTGTTCTTCCTAGGGACAAATTACACATTCACCTGAACCTGCATCGGTGATATGCATGCCTAAGAGCTTTGAATTCCATGTTGTCATTTTTAAGTGCTAGCGATTACTCTGAACCTTAGTGGCTGTGTGCATAAAACAAAGCTTTTCCAGATTCTGCACCATCCTTTTAACATTTTCTGGGTTCACACCCATTGTTCCAATCACTCTTATCATTCCACCTTGATGAGGGTCTTCTTCTCTTTTGCTGACCTGATTTTTCAAATATGATGTCCTTATCCAGGGACTGGCTTCTCCTGGTAACATGCCCAAAGGATGTGCCACAGAGTCTAACCATCCTTGCCCTTAAGGAAATCTCTGACTTCTTCCAACACAGCTTTACTTTAGCATTACATGGTATATTCTGTATCCTTCTCTAACACTACAATTCAAAGACATCATTTCTTCAGTCTTTCTTATTCTGTATCCATCTTTCACATGTATATGAAATAATTACAAAAATCCCATGTCTTGACTCAGGCATATCGTAGGCTTTTAAGTAATGCCCTTGTTCTGCAGCATTTTAAAGTTTCTGGCAAGAATTTAATTTTTCTAGAACTCCATCAGTGATTGAAGAAAGATACACAGTCTCCTCCTGTTAAGATTTACAGTCTTGGAGCCAGTCAGTTGCCTTCATTTTCTCTCCCTCAGCACTTGAAACTTCATGGACTTAGATGCCATCATCAAACTTCCCTAGAGAATGAAGTGATACCGTTTTTTGAATATATTAACTTTGCTTGGGAAATACTATGTAAAAGATGTGTCTCTGCTCACCAGGAAACTTTTCTACGGAAGAAACATGCATATTCTGAATGAAAGACTGGCCTGTTTTCACAATGGCTTGGATCTCGTGATCCCTGTTATTTGTATTTTATGGCCAACCTGAGAGTGTATTTTAGGTGGTTAATGGTAAAATTTCTTAATCCATCAATCAGAACCACATTGCATGCTCAGCACACTCTCCCTTGGAATGTCGATTTCCTCTATTTAATGTCGTACAGTGGTTTGGCTTTGATAAAAGTGCCCAGTGCCAGACTTCCATTCCACCAGACAAAATGAAAATGCATTAGACACTCAGACACATTGGTCTGGCCCTGTGTTCTGCTTTGCACTACTAATTTAGACTTCTCTGCAATTAAAGCAAAGCTATAAGAAGTGGGTGTATATTGAATTGCCATTAGAAGAGAATGGATAGTTGCTGGCTTTTAGGTTTTGGTTGTTATTACCATCCAATAGGTTGAGTCAGTTTGTTTTAGAATTGTAAATCATAAATATAAAAGTAAGCCAGATTGGACTCTCTTCTTAGAAGAAAATATTAGGAGGATGTCCTTTGTTAAAGGAAGCAAAAAGTGAGATACCTGAGATATTCAAATATTTAAATGATTCTGACTTCCCTTATTTCCAGGTACAAGGAGCCAGTCAAAAAATGTCCAGTAGATATTTACTGAGTACCTACTATATTTCAGACTGTCCTGGGCACTGGAGACAGAGTTGTAAATAAGCAAACAAAGTCTCTGCTCATGTGGAACTGACATCCTGGTGATTCTCAAAATTCTTGACAAAGAATAAAGAGTTACTATTTAAAACTTGAACACTGATGGCCTAGTGGCAAGAAACTGTGCTGCAATTCCAAAGGCACATGGTTCAAGGACAATCTCCTCCCGTATGATTAACTGCCTCTGAAAACCCACCAGAAGATCAGCTATGGGTCAGTTATGACTCTATGGTACACAACAACAACAATTTAAAACTTAGGGAGCTCTGGTGGCCTAGTGGTTAGAATTACACTGCCAAAAGCTGGAGGGCTCAAATCCACCAGCTGCTTTGATAGAGAAAAATAAGCCATCTTATGTGATTCACAACTTCTGGAAACCTAGTGGTAAGTCAGCTATGAGTCGACTCCAACTCAACAACACATAAAAACAACAATTTAAAACTCCGTGATTGACCACATGTTTCATTACTTGACACAGCAATTTGGTAAGTTAATAGGATAGAGACTGAGGCTCAAGGGGAAAAGTGACACTTTCCAGGTCACACTGCTTTGTTGTTACTGGTTGTTGTTTGATGCTGATGAGTACAACTCAGTGACACTGTGATCAACAGATCTGAACAGTGTCCTATCCTGTGGCATCCTCACCATCTCTGACCCACTTGAGCTCAGTGCTGCAGTCACTGTGTCAGTCCATCTTGTTGTGTGGCTTCCTGTCACTCCCTGAGAAATAGCCTTTCCTAGCAACATGCCCCAAGTATGTGGACAATGACGCTTTGTCATCCTTGCCTCCAAGGACCATTCTGACTGTACTTTCTCCAAAACGTATCTGTTTGTTCTTTTGGTAATGTATGGAACATTTCAGTAGTCTTCTCCAACATCGTATCTCAAAGGCATCAACTCTTCTGTCATCCTTCTTCATTGTCCAGCTTTCAGATGCATAACAGGTAACTGAAAAGATCATGGTTTGAATCAGGCAAACCTTAGTCTTCACACTGACATCATTGTTCCTCAGTAATCTGGAGAGGTCCCTGCTAGGTTCCTTCAAAGTCTTCTCCAACCCCTAGTGACACATCTAATTTTGCTGTCCTCACAATCTCTGCTCTGCTCAAAGGCCTTGTTGCAATTATTCCTTTTTATTGAGGATCTTCTTCTTTTTCTCTATCAACCTTTCTAAGCAGGATGTTGATTTCTAGGGTCTGGGCTGTCTTGACAATTGTTTGGCATCATTAATATATGTTGTTGTTGGCCATAGAGTCATAACTGACCCATACTGGACCCTCTAACAGATTTTCAGAGGCAGTTAGTTGCATGGGAGGAGATTGACCATCCTCCCCCTGCAGAACAGCTGGTGGCCTCGAACTGTGTACCTTCAGGATTGCAGTGCAGCTTCTTGCCACTGAGCCACCAGAGCCATAATCTGTTATGTTGTTGTTATTGTTCTGTGCCATCAATTCACTTGCAACAGCCCTAAACCCTGTTCTATCCTGTACCAACATCACTGTCTCTGACATGCCTATTCCCATTACCTCAATCACTGAATCGATCCATCTCATCGAGGGTCTTCCTCTATTGTGCTGTCCCTCCACTCTCCCAAACATGATGTCCGTCTCCAAGGACTGGTCCCTCCTTGAAGCATGCCCAAAGTGTGTCAGACGAAGCTTCAGAATCCTTTTTGTTCTTTTGGCAGTAACAGATTTGTTTGTTCTAGAGTATTGGAATACTCTTTGCCAACACCACAATTCAAAGGCATTAATTCTTTAATCTTCAAGGTCACTACTAGTGAATTAAAAAGTGAGGAAAGTCAACCTAAGTGGAATAACTCTAATGAAAACTCCTGCATTTCTCCATTTTCTACACTTCTAAAGAATCTCTGCAAGGCAACCTAGTGGTACAGATAGTTAAGCACTTAGTCGCTAACCTACAATACAGTGATTTTAACCACCTGGTGCCTCCACAGGAAAAAAAGAAAGAGTTGATGATTTACTTGCATGGAAGTTAGAGCCAAGAAAATGCTCTGGGGCAGTCAGCTGTGTCACAGGGGGTTGCCTGGAGTGGAGATCAATTACACAGCACCTAAAAAACCAAAGAACTCTCCAAGATAAACACTTTATTTCTGTATTTTAAGATGGATTAAGAGACATAACTGACCTTTAAAGGGATTTAGGAGTCAGTTACCTTTTTCTTCTCAAGGGGGAAAAATGTTTATTTTGTCTTCCATCTCTGGTGCCACCTAACTTTCAAGTGTATTCTTTTATCTGCACTGTTTTCTGGGGAACCATGTGCCGGGTGTTTACCAGCTGCAGCTGTGCTCCTGTGATTTACTGCCAGGATACAGAAAGATTTTATTTTCTCCACTCTTCAGGTTGCCTAAGAGCAAATGTTTTCTTCATTAACAGCAGCATTTGTTGTCTAAACAATATTCCGTCCAAATCTCGGTGAGGGCTGTGTCAGCCATTGTTCTTCAGCTGACCTCTTCTTTGCGTTAATAATTCCCTAACCCTCCTAACTCTAGAAAAGGGAGTGCATTTTGGTCAAAGAAGAATGTACGGACTCTAGATCCACAGAGAAATGAGTCTGACCTCACAGATTGTTCTGAGCTCAGCATCTACCTGGGAGAAGTACTAATGTGGTGATAGTTACCTAAGCTTGCAAGTTCTGTTCCAGAAGTGTTGGACTTGAATAACCTAATTGGAAAGATGTAAGCTTTTGGGGTGACTGACAGGAGTTGTAAACTCCCACACCTGCTCACTGTGAAATGTCTTGGAGCAATATTGTATGCAGAATTTCTGCTTCTTCGGTTTTTGCAGTTTGAAAGGAAAATCATCTAATGGTATTTTGTTTTAAAGGGAGTTCTGTGAGTGAATCTGTTTTCATGCAAAAGATAAAAACCAGACTAAAACAATTTGATTAAGTAAAGATATGAAAGGATGCATTAAAGAATTATATTCTGATGTATTATTTAATAGAGAGCCTCTAAAATTTTAGTTTATACAGTTGAAATTATTATTTCCAAGGTTTGAGAAAAGTTGTACTACAGTGGTAGTATAGCACTGATTTTGGCAGTAAGAGTATTGTAAAATCATTCACAATTCTCTTCCCTTCAACTTTCTGTGGTTAAGTGCCATTGTGTCAGCTCCAGCTGGTAGTGAGAGAACCCATTCACAACAGAGGGAAACCCTGCGGGTCCAGGAACCCTTTGCCACAGTCACTGTCTCAGTTGAACTTGTTGAAGCTCATTCTGGTTCTTCACAACCGTCTACATGGGTCCCTCTACCGTCTACAATCATCATGCTCTTCTCTAGGGACTGGCCTCTCCTGCTGATATCCTCGAAGCATGTTTAGAGGAAGTCTCCCTGTATTCCCTCCTAAAGAAGCCTTCTGGCAACACTTCGCCAAGACAGAGTCATTTGTACTTTTGAAAGTCCATGGCATAGACAGTCTTCTTCACCAAAACTATAATTCAAAGACGTCAGTTCTTCTTTATTCTTCTTTATTAATTGTTTAACCTTCTCATATAGGAAACTCGGTTTCCTCTTTTTCCTTCTGACATAAAATTCTTCCAAGGAAACCTACTGTCTCCAAGTAGCCAATGTTTGTATCATTCTTGGGCATTGAATCTTTTCCTGTGAGATTTGGTGGTCATACAATACTTTAGTAAAATTCAAAACTTCCAGTGCACACTATTCAAAACAATTAGTCAGCCAGTAACTAAACAACAGACCTCATAGACTAAACTGAAAAGAAGCCTACTTGCAGAGATAAGCTGCATCTGTTGTATGGTTATGCTGGAAGTTACTGAAGTCCAGAAAAAAATTGAGTTTTTCAGGATGCAGGCTTTGCCGCAATTACTAGGAAGAAGAGTAAATGCAGTGAGGGTCAAAGGGCAGTTTGAGTTTCGATTTGGCCACCACGTCTGACTTGCAAAAGAAATACTTCTTTAATTTAGGAAAGTTTAGGTTTTTTTCATCCATCATTAAATGTAGGGGAGTTGTTATTAGGTAATGGAATGGTTTTCTCAGTACTTGAAGGTCCTATAAACTTGACAATTTGTTAGTTCTTAAAAACTATTATTTCAGTATATTTACTTTTCCAGAAGAATGGTGTTGAGTAAGATAATACTTTTTAAAAGTCACAATAATTTCTCTTGATTATTATTCAGTCTATTTAGTTGACCCCCACCTGGGGAGGAGAGAGTCTGAGGAAAGATTCCCAAGGAGACTAGAGCAGTGAGCAATACTGCTTCATTAGTGAGAAATCCATAAAAACTGGCAATTTACAATGTATGACTGAAGCTTCTAACAGTGTGAAAATTTAGAAAGATCTGAAAAAAAAAAGCTTCCATCCCAATAAAATACTGATGATGGTATGCTAGTGAAAGCATATAGGTGTTGGGGGGGGGGTGGTCAAAGGGAGAAGCTTGGTAAAGCAGAGAGTAGTTTGAGTTACTTTATTCTTGAGCTCTAACTCTGGTGTGGCCCAGTGTTAAGAATCTGCACTGCAACCGCCTTAGGCTCTTAGAATCTGCCAGCTGCTTCACAGGAGAAGGATGGGCAGTCTCATCCCTTTGAATTAACTGCCTCTTAAGACCCTCTGGAGGGTCAGCTATGGGTCAGTTTTGACTCATTGGTACACAACAGCGATGGCATAGTCTATAAGGAGTTGTCGCTTAACCCGTAGTTCTCGAACTTCTCTGGTGATTTGATTCCACCAGTTGCCCTGCAGAAGAAAGATGGCTGTCTGCTCCCGTGCGATTTACAGGCTCCCAAACCCAATGAAGGCAAAAGACATGCAGTTCTCACTACTCCCAGAAGTTGCCTACTTATGAAGGATCCCCCACGTCCCCCCTGTAAATCTTATTCAAGTACGTGTGTCTGCCCCATGCCTTGGGAAATGAATGGCAAGGAACTGCTTCCCCAGCCTTTGAAGTCCTTATGCAAATAGAGCTTTCATAACCCACACTTTCTGGAATTCTTATCTTATCACTCTAAAGATTGAGTCTCTTTAGAAAAGGTTTTTTTCTTTTTTCTTTTTTTAGGAATCAGCCCCAGTTGCTTTACAAGGCCATCAGCAGACACTGCTGCTGCTTAACTGATTGTATTTTATTCCCCTCCCCTCCTCTTGCTACACACTAGCTTTAATTAAGGAAATTGCAGTTCAGGATAAATAGTGACTTTTAAGCCCAGAGCAGGAGAGGGGTTAGTTGGGCTCTCTCAAAATCAATTTCTTTGTCATTGGGTAAATTGTCACCAAGTTGTAAGAATCACTTTCCTCAGGGACATTGCATAGATACTGGCTTGGATCTTCTGGTAACACTTGGATTGGCGAGCAGTGCCTGAATGACATAGGTGAGTTTAATAAGCCCCTGCCTGGTTTTCTTCCCAGACACCGAGACATGTGACTACGGCTGGCACAAGTTCCAAGGGCAGTGCTACAAGTACTTCGCGCATCGACGCACGTGGGACGCCGCTGAACGGGAATGCCGGCTACAGGGCGCCCATCTGACAAGCATCCTGTCTCACGAAGAACAAATGTTTGTGAATCGTATGTACAAGAAAGACCCATGCTTTTCTGGAACACCCCTCATTCTCACAGATTTCTTGGGTTTTTCTGTAGCCAGCTGAAAAGAAGTAGCTTTCTTGATTGTGATTCAACTTTATTAAGCCTCTCATCTGTGAATAATTTAAAATTGTCTCACTCTGTGAGTGAGTCCCACATTTTGGGAAGCATTCAACTGTAATAATACTGGAAGGGTTAGCTTAGTTTTTGCCAGCAGTAATATGTGGGATGGCATGCTACAAGTGGAATCATTTAATATTGCTGTTAGTTGATTATTTCTTGACTTAGAAAAGGTCCTTTTCATGGAGTTCAGCCCAACTCTTTATGATCTCTATAATAAATATGCTTGCATGCCACCTAATATTAAAACACAACCTTTAGTTGTGTTTACCCTTCTAATTAAAATGGAATTATTAATAAATAATACCCAATAGTTACCCTCTGCATATATTAGTTCTCATCGAAGGTTCTGGAGCATTGGTGGCTCTGTAGACTAATCATTGATTGGGCTTTTAATCTAGTGGTTGGTGGCTCAAATCCACCAGCCACTATGTGTGACAAACGTAGAGCAATCTGTTCCTGGAAAGATTTACAGCATCAGTAAGATGGGCAATCTCCTCCTGCGCAAATACTGCCTTTGAAAACCTGCCTGAGGGTTAACTATGGGTAGGTTCTAACTCTATGGTAAATAACAATTCCATCTTATAGGGGTTGGGGAGGTTTTGGTTTTTTTTTTTTTTTTGGAGGGGGTTTGAGTCAGTATTGACCCAGTGGAAGTAAGTATGGATCTAAGTTTCTAATAATCTTTAACCATAGAAAGTAAATGTCGTATTAAGAATGGCACAAATAAGGAGAAATTGGAAACTAAAAGCATTTAATTTACAGTGACTTAAGACCTCTATGCTGCTTACGATTCACCAATAATAAATTAAGACAAAATCATTAATGTATAGCAGAGATAATAGTAGTTTTTATGTAATAAATATATAAATCTGATTTTGGTCATCTTTTGGGTCAGGAAACTTTGTTTTATGCACTATTAAGTGTTCTTTTATGATTCTTGCTATCTTTTAGATGTTTGATTTTTATTTTGGTATCTGTGTAAAGATTCACGTAACATCACTGGGTGGATATCTTCACCAGTGACTCATCTCATAGTGAGAGTAATTCTTTTTCTTTTCTTTTTTTTAAATTTATTTTCAGAACTGTCTAGTCTAGGTGTTCCCTGTTTAACATGTTTTGAGAAGAAACACATGACTTCCAAAAGTCAGGCTGGCCTGGGTAGATCTGGCACATTTTACTAGGTCATTGAATTCTTGCCAATGGCATAGCTTAACTCAAAAGTGAATGGAAAATTTCTATCATGAATTAGGATGGAGGAAAAAAATTCTTAAAACAATAAACTGCTAGGGAAATAATTGTCTATGTCTGGTATATTAGTATTCTACCTATTGACTTTTTATTTTAAACCACATTGGTCAAACAAGTAAAGATAGCTATTGTATGTGAGGTTTGTTGCTTTTTTTATATGCTTGTTTGTTTGTCAAATAAGCAATTAGTAAGAAAACAGACAGAGAAGAGGAAGCATGATTCACTCTGAAGATCATTCTCCATTTATGTTTCCATGCATACACGGGTCAAATAGTGAAGGTCTCCGTATTGCTTTCTCTCCCTTAGGTGTGGGCCATGATTACCAGTGGATAGGCCTCAATGACAAGATGTTCGAGCATGACTTTCGTTGGACTGATGGCAGCACTCTGGTAAGATGATAATGTATATGGAAACTTAGAGATGTGTGAAGATGCTCAAATGTTTCAGAGGGATGTCTCTGACTAGAAATAGGCGAAGTGACTAGCTAAGGCTCACTCAGGCAATAGGGGAGAATTGAGAATGGCATCCTCGACCAGGCTAACTTATGCTACCTCCAGGGCTCCTATCTAACGCCCAGTACCCTTTGTATATATTAGTGGTTCTAACAGAAATGTGCATCCGGCGTCTGTTGAGCTGGAGATGCAGATAATCTGCAGAATTGTCTCACCCTGGTATATAGAAAGGGGAAAAAAAGATATTTCTGATTTTTGTCTTATTTCACCCTGGTTTTCAGATGTCTGGCTTTGCTTTTAATAGTTTCAAAGCTGAAAAGCTAAGAATAAGTAATAGAGAGTTATGTTTTTAGCTATTTTTTTTGAAAACTTTTACTTCCTTAATAATTGTACCAGACATCTAACTACTTAAGGAAACATGGTTCAACTTTATCCAAGCAAAAGTACTCATTTATCCTTCAACCTTAAAAGTTAATTTATACTTATGTGCATCTCTTTGCATTCCTGTGTGTGTGTGTGTGTGTGTGTGTGTGTGTGTGGTTATTGTTGTATGCTATTGAGTTGGAACCAGCTCATAGTTGATCCTCCAGTAGGTTTTCAGAGGCTGTAAATCATGGAAGAGATTGCCCATCATCTCTCATGGAATCTATCTATCTATCTATCTATCTATCTATCTATCTATTATCTATCATCTATCTATCTATCTATCCATCTATCTATCTATATCTGTATACATATAAATGTATATGTAATTTAAAGCCTCAGAAACCAGCAGGTCGACTATAAGTCAGAACCAACTCAATAGCAAATTTAATATGTTTTAAAAAATTGTTTTGTTTTGTTTTTAGGAGTGAATCAATAATGCTGTCCACAAAATGTGATTGAAATGAGTTCTTTAGAAATAGTTCAAGTGGGGCTGACTAGACTAGTGGTTCTCAGTGCTGGCTGTTCATTAGGATTGCCTGGGAAGCTGAATTAAAAAGCTGAAACTTGGGGCTCAGCCCAGATCCATCAAAACAAACTCTGAGAGTTGGGGCTTGGACAACTATGTTTTTGAAATGTTCCCAAGGTGATTCTAAACTGTAGACAAATTTGGGATCCTCTGGACTATGTATCTAATTCTGGGTTAGATATTAGAGAATACAAAGTAAAAATCATTGTATACTCTTTTTGGCGGGCTTTCAGTTACTTAGGTTCATATATCCCCATCATAATCTGTCATACATCTGGATTTAATGAATTTATTAAAACATAAGGTCCATTCTAGAGTAAAATGCCTTGATGAAAGTAATGTCTCTCTACTTTAGGAAATTTTGCTCCATCTGTTAAGGGGAACTTCACTGTGATGGTAGCGACACACCTCTCAGCTCATTAGTTCTCATGATGAATTGGCTTCTCATTGATGGCTCCTATTTGATAAAATCTGTTCATGGAGAGTTTACATGCCTGTACTGAGGCTACTACAAGTTGTAGTACTAAGCCCTTTGCATATGTTTATTCTTTACAATAGCCTTCTTTGTTGTTGTTTGGGTTAAGTTTGGTTTTTTAAAAAAATATACTGATTTATTTACATATTCAAATACATTGTTTTTCTCACAAGACCCTTCCCATTTCCTTCACTCCCCCATTGAATTGTGCAATCCTATGATTAACACCCCATCTCCTACCCATCCTCATCCTCTGCTTCTACCCTTACTCCTCCCCCCATCCCTGCCGTGGATTCTCATATTCATTCTACAGTAATGGTTTTATATAATACTTGTCCTTGTGGGAAAGAGTTAGTTCACTCAGCATTATGCTCTCCCACCCTCCTGGATCCTTATACTCATTCTGTAATAATGGTTTTATACAATATTTATCTTTGTGGGACTGAGTTAGTTTACTCAACATAATGCTCTCCTGTCCCTCTTAAGTTAGGTAGTAATTTATAAAATCATTGCTCCTGCATGCTGTGTAGTATTTCATTGTATGAATGTTCCACAACTTCTCAATCCATTCATTTGTGGTTGGACATCTGGGCTGTTTCCATGTTCTTGTGATAGTAAGACTGCTATGAACATTGGTATGATATCTTCATTTGAGTTTCAGTTCTCATTTTCTTGAGGTATATTCAAGCAATGGGATATCTGGGACATATGGAATTTCTATGTTTAGCCTTTTTTTTTAATATTTTATTTTAATGCAAGTCTACAGAGACTTGGATTTCCATTCATTCACTGTTGCACTTTTCTCCCTACCTGCCCCTCCCCCAAATTAGCTTTTCTTTTTGAAAAGGAAAAGAAAAAATTCCTTCCTTGTTATTCAATCTCTCCCCCTAAGTCCACTCCACTATGCCATCTCGTTCTGGACTTCTGTCATAACAATAATATCCAATTATATGTCCCTTTAAAACAGTTCTATCCCTCATCTGTTTCAATGCACTATGTTCAGCTTTTTGAGGAAGTGCCAAACTGCCTTCGAGAATGGTTATACCATTTTACAATCCCACCAACAATGTTTAAGAGTCCCTATTTCACCAAATCCTCTCCAACATTTATTACTTGCTCTCCTATTAAATTTTGCTACTGCCACTGGAATGAGATGGTATCTCATTGTGGTTTTGATTTGCATATCTCTTACCACAATGGCCTTTAAGAGAGGTGCTTTGTAGGTACATGATCAGAAAACTATTCTCTGTTGAAGTCAGTGTTTGTATTCATTCAGACTTGTCTCTAAAGGACAGTTTCTGTGAGTGGGGTCTCTTTGAATTTAAAGAGTATCTCTTGTCCCATTTTCTTTACTTTTTGATTGAAAACATACATAAAACTCCAAAACTCAAATTCATTGCCATCAAGTGGCAACTGACTCACAGGTTTTCTGAGGCTATAAATCACATGGGAAGGAGATTGCACACCTTTCTCTCTTGGAGCTGCTGGTGACAGGTAAGCATGTCCTTAGTTAGTAACACACCTCTGTAAACACTATGCTACCACATAGCACGTTTCAGCAATTTCTACATACTGCATTGACACATTGATTACATTCTTCAGATTGTATGGTGAATCTGTCTGTTCTTTTCCAAATTGTTCCACCACCACGGAGATACTTTCAGTGTCCCCTAAATTCATCTTTCCAGCTGCTGTTGTTAATCACATTTCTTACTGAGCAACCTTAAATAAATTTCATCTTTCTCTTCCTGTCTCACTATTTACCTTGAACCAACGTCATTTGCCTTATAAGGTCATGGGTAGATTTTTTTTTTTCTTTCTTCCATACGAAGGAAAATATAAGGAAAATGAATTTTTCTTAAGATATATCCTTTGGTTTCGTTGCTGTAATTGAATAATATATCTGCAATTTCTCTGTGTGTTTTAATTTTACTGTGCATAGGGGAGTAATTTTAGTGACTTCAATTAACAGTTGTTGGTGGAGTAAGAAATGTCTGTGTCTTCATTTGTTTTCATTAATGTGAAAATGAATATAAAATTAAGACTTTTTTCTATAGAGATAGTTCAGACTCTATTTACATTTTTGTCACAGGCATTTAATGCTGTTAGATGCCATTGAGTTGACCCCAACTCCTAGTGATCCTGTAAACAACACATCTGAACATTGCCTTATCTACGCCATCATGGTGATCGCCATCCAGATCAAGCCCATTGTTATAATCACTTTGTCAATCAATCCCTCTCATTGAAGGCCTTCCTCTCTTTCCTTGACCCTTCACCTTTCCCAGCATTACGTCCTTTTCCTAGGACTGGCCATTTCTGACAACATGCCCAACGTGTCTGATACAGACTTTCACCATCTTTGCCTTTAAGAAACACCTTAGTTGCACCTTCTCCAAGATAGACTTGTGTGACATTTACTGAGTTCTCTCTTTACTGTCCTGTAAAATAAATTGGGTTTCTAAGGTTCCTAATAATCTAGGAACATTTCTGTTTCTCTTCTAGCTTAAATCTACCAGTGGCTCCAATGGGGAGAGATGGGCAATCACCTCCTATGTGATACACATCCTCTAAAAGCTTAGTACTAGAGGGTCAGCTATGAGTCAGTTCTGGCTTGACAGTAATGTATTTGAGACTATTAATAAATTCCAGTGAAGAAGGAAAGCCCTTGTAATTTCCAGGTTGCGTGTTGGAAACTATAGGAACGCCCCAGGACTTGAGTGGCCAGTGTCAATTGGTGCTACCTTGTGCTTGGCAGACCTGGGTCATGACTTCTATTTTTGTCATTTTCAGAGTATTCCTATTGGAGGGTTCCTGTATATTCCATATCTTCCATCCCTGAATTTACCCTAGCTGCATTTGGTAGAGTGTATTAAAAGCCTGTCATTTGTTACACGCTGGTTTGACTGAGCCAAATCCCAGTCGGCTTCCAAGCTGCAGTTGGCTACGTAGAATTAGTTTGTATGTTTTCATTCTTTTGTTTATATGCATTGTTGTTGTTGTTAGGTGCCATCGAGTCGTTTGCGACTCATAGCGACCCTATGCACAACAGCCCTAAACTCTGCTCTATCCTGTGCCAATCGCACTGCCTCCGACATACCCATCCCCAGTCACCGAGTCAATCCATCTCATAGAGGACCCGTCCCTCCTGGCAACATGCCCAAAGTATGTCAGACGAAGCCCCAGAATCCTTGCCTCCAAGGAGTTGCTTGGTTTAATCCTCTCCAGGATGAATCTGTTTTCTTGGCATTACTAGATGCTTATTCTGGTTTTCCCATTAGCAGTTAAGTTCTTCAAAGGAGTGGTTCTCTTTGCTGCTATTTATTTCTCACAGTGTCTAAGATAACACCCTTTGGTCCCTGTGACTTGGTTAATGAGACTGATTATGGGTTTATGTTGACAGCACCACAATCTACAAAATATATTAGGGGATTTATCTTTCCTGTCAGGTGCCATATAAATGAGTTTGACTCGTCAGATGTCATTCTTCTCTATGTCAAAATAACTGTT